TGAACAGTGGAAATGGACAACAATCTGGGGAAAGGGCAGGGAGGGAGGAGGAGGGGGGAATCAGTGGGGGAAAAAAGGAGAAACATCTGTAACAAAAATTAATCAATAAAAAAAAACTTTTCCTTTCTGTGGCTGGGACTCCTGATAATGTGAAGTGCCTGGTAAGCCCCAGCCAGCTCCTTGCCCAGCACTCTGCTCTGCCCTCCTGCAGCTCCCTGCTGTGGCTCAGAGCCCCAGCGCCAGGCCACTGGGCAGAGGGTTCTGCCTGATCTTTCCCATGAGCTGCACAGGACCAGGCTGCTGGGAATTAGTGATGTTGGTGAAGAAGGAGGACAATTGAACCCAGGGAGGAAGACGTACTGCCCTGGCAACCCAAGGCAGGAGCATTATGTCATAGGGTGTCATCCCCAGGGTCCTGCCCTCTGCTGGCCAGTGAGAGTGAGGTCTCCAGGGTTTAACTGTCTCCACTGGGCCTTGATTTCCACCTCAGATAATGAAAGCAGAGACTTGCTCCTTTACCTCTCCTAAACAATATCTGCCATGATGTTTAATAAGGTTATGCCATGGAGAGAGGTCAGATGAAAATGTCACCACTGTGCCAAGTCTGAGCCCTGAGAAAGACCCCTGGGGAACAGTCACATCAAGCTGTCATTGGCATGAGTGGTAGTCTAGGAATTTCCAGATGAGGCCAGTCTGGAGAGCTGAGCACCTCATTTTACCCTTTTTCTTACCTACTGCCCAATGCAGGAAACACCAGCATCTGACCCAGGGCCCATCACACAGTTGAAGATGCCCACTATCACGCCAGGCACAGCTGAATATTACTGAGCGTTCCAGGTGATGGAGGATGAACGACACGGGACAGAGGGGTATAAGCCATTGCCCAGTAATGCAGAGCTGTAGGGACTCGGTGCTGCTGGTGAGAAGGTGCTGGTTCACCTGAGAACACACACAGCCTGTGCTCCAGGTGTTCTCTGGCAGTGCACAGACTCCAAGGGAAACTCCACACAGATCCATAGGGGACGCTCATCAGGCCTAAGTCTACCTTCACTGTCTTATTTGCTTCATGAAATTTGTTATGTTTTTGTTTTTAATCCCAGCAGCCTGAAGGCTCTTAGCTCAGCTTCAGTTAAAGTGTTGTTCATCTCTCTGACTCTAGGACTGAGTGGGAGGCCAAGCACCAAGAAGTACTCAGACAATGTGGGGAGAAAACAAAGCAAGTGGAGAAGATGCCAGTGAGGAAGAAATGACTCCACTGGTTCCTGTTACTCTCATCCAAGACACAGCTCAGGGCTGGAACACAGAACAGAGGGTGGTGTTCTGGCCTGTGCTGTGGTCTCACCCTCTAGTTCAGTAGGACAAAGAGCACAGGTGCATCCTAATCCCAGCATGTGTATGACACCCTCTGGGTGGCCCCGTATTGGGATGAAGAGTGAGTGACCCAATGGAAGGTAAGTCTGACCAGCCTCCCAGTGGTCTATGGAGACAGCTGGAGCTGGTGGCCCCTGAGGTGTCCACTCTTCCCTCCTCAAGCACAGCCCTGGAGTTGGGGGAGGAGAGCACCATTGGGCACCTTCCCTCTCCAGGGAGTGATGACGGCACTGCGAATGGGCCAGCACCTTCCTCTGTCTAAACTCAGTTTAGATGACTGAGGGGTAGTAAGTATACGTAGACACCAAAAACATGTGATTCCAATTTCATAGGTGGCCTAGATTAATAAAATTCTAGAGACAGAATGTAGAGTCGTAATTCCCAGGGTCTGGGAGGAGCAGAGGAAGTAGGAGTTACTGTTCAATGGATAGAGTTTTAGTTTACACGATGGGCTTCAGAGGTGGATGGTGGGAATGGCTGCACTACACAAATGCACTTCATACCGTAACTTAACAGGTTAAAATAGTTGAGATGAGCAATTTGAAGTGTATTTACCACAATTAAAGAGATGGAGAGAAAAAGAGCTAATGCAGACGGGCTAAACCCAGGCACTGTGGCCAGCGTCTCTCAGCGCCTGTGCGTGGGCAGGAATCAGGGTACACACACATTCTGATGATTGTCTCCACATGCTGAGGTTTCCTTTGTCAGTGTTTGGGGTCCCAAGCAGAGTCAGCCAAGGTTCTGAAGGCCAGGTGACTTGATTTACCCAGTGTAACATTCTGTGCCAAGTGTATTTGTGTCCTGGCCATTTGGCTTGCACAGCTCCCAGATGCTTAGTTGCTCACTCTCCTAAGCTTCTGGCAGGACAAGTATGAAGGTCGGGATAGTTGGATGTGGATTTTACCTCCTCTTCCCACATGCCAGATGGCTGGCAACTGACATAACCCAGATGTCCTGCTTACACTCAAGGACAACCACATACTGCCATCAGGATGGCATGTAGATGGCACCAGAGTTCTCACTTGCACAGGTCCTTGATTTTGAAATATCAGTAGTTTCAGGTCCACCCAGACACACAGGCACAGGGCCTGAATATGTTTAAACTATAGTCTGTGGCACCTGCTTTTCTAACTGTGCTTTTTAGAAGCTGTGTATTTGAAGGGGGTAAATCAGTGGTGTGTACATAAATTTATTTTCCTCATAAGGAAAGCTTAAATCTAGATGTGCATGTTTGTTTGTCTTTATAAACACCTCTAAGCCACACCAGTATTATATAAAAATTGGCTGAAAACACATATTCTGCAACTGGGTTGGAGAAAATATAGCCTGGCTACAACCTTTATTAGGCTCAGCAGTGAAATCTCAGCTGAGTGCTGTGTCCAGGGTCAGTGCTGTGGGTGATTTGATCCAAACCCATCTTTGGACTCCGTAGTTTGCTGTAATCACCAAAAATGTACACTGACTTTCTTTCTCTTGATCTAACATGGCCCCTCTGCTGCTGGTGCCTGAGATCTGCTTGTCAACCCTGAATGTGGTGAGTGGGAACGTATCCAGGCCATACACGCAAAGTGCTGTTCTTTCTATTTACTGGGCAAGATCTGACAAAGAACTAAAAGAAATGTGAAATGTTATCAGGAATCTTTTTCTCTGGTACATGTTCTCAAAGTGGAAAGGCTTTGCCCTGGCTGCTTTTGCTCGGTGGTTAGACCACTAGCCTGTAGACCAAAGAGTCCCAAATCAAGGGCACATACCTCAGTTGCAAGTTCCATCCCCAGTCCCAGTCATGATCCTGTGGGAGGCAACTGTACAATGTGTCTCTCTCATTTCTATGTTTCTGTTTCTTTCTCTTTTGCACACTCTCTTTCTTCCCCCTCACACTCTATCTACTATACATAAATAAATAATTGAAAAAAATATTCTCAGCTGAAGATTAAAAAGCAAAGAAAAGGAATATTCTTTAGAGTTAAATAAATATGGGTTCAGATAGTGCTGTGATTCATAAGCTCTGTGTTATTGAACAAACTATTTAAACTCTCTGAGTTTTTAATCTAAAATGGGCATAATAATTATATCTTTTGTATAAGATTGGCATGAGAATTAAATTACCTTATATATACACCTCAGCAGAGCTCAGTAAACATCAGCTTCCTTTCTCTTTACTGCCAGCCTTTCATGAAACACCAACACAAATGAGCATTTTTGACATGCAGATCATTCTTCATCCAGGTGAAGGAGCAACCTTATCTCACAGGTTCTCAATAGTTAAGTTGCAGTAGAATTACTGCAGTAATTTCAAAGACAAGTTCCCAGGTTGAAAATTCCAACCCACTGAATTGTCATTTTTGCATAAAATGCTGGGAACCTGTGGTTTGATATGTGATGCAGATGATTCAGATGGAGGAAATTAACTACCACATGCTGAGAACCATCACCTCGTGTGCTCTTCACACAAAAATGCCCATTACCCAGGTTTCTCTTTCCTATGGACCTCAACCACAGGATGACTGTCCTCTGCTCCGTGTCACCCAGCGTGGTCCCCTTTTCACACTTCCCATTGTGTTTGCTTATTTACTCATTTATGTGTCTTTTACCCTCACTATACTGTGAGCTTTTTAGAGTTGTAGTTTATCTCCATTCCCAGTGCCAAGTACATGGCCTGACACTTAGAAGATACTTAATTGTTCACTAAATAAATAACAAAGTCTTGACCCCCCTCCCCTCGAAAAGACCATATGTGGTATGATTGTACTTCCATGAAAAATTAATGATAGGTCAATAATCCATGGAAACAGAATAAAACCAAAGATTGTCAGGGGCTGAGTGGGGAGGATGAGCAGTGACTGAGACCAGGCCCTGGGTTTGTCTGGATGGCAATGTCCTGGATATAGAGAGTGGTTTTGATGACTGGTGGTCGTGAAAAATTGTGAATGCACTTAATGCTGCTGGAATGTACACCGTGAAGGATCATACTGTTAAATTCCATTTAAATTAAATTTATTGTAGTAGCATTTTATTAAATGTATTTAAAATACATTTTATATTAACTTAATAGTATAAGAAAAATAGTATAAGAAAATACAGTCTTGCTCTTTTGTTTCTTTCTATAAGACTGGAGTGTACTGGGAACCACGAGTTGGTAGTGCTGGGGTCACTTGGCTGGTTGGAAGCTGGGACCCAGAGCAGGGCTGGTCAGGATTTGTGTTTGGCACAGGTGCTTCCAATGAGAGGCCAACCCTTGGCCTCTGGCCACCCAGCTCTGAGTCTGGGCACTGGCCAGAGTTGGCTCCCTGGGGAAGTAGCATCTTGGCTTCCAGGAGGGCAGGACATAAAAGCAACAACACTATGCCCTGGAAAGTTCATGTGTCTTGAGGCCAAAACACACCTACTGTGATTCTCCAGCTCAAAACTGCTGGCTTGACCTTTCACCTGCCAGACAGTTCTGGTGAGTAAGCTGAGCAGTTGGGGGTTCCCAGCAAGGGCAAGACTGTGACTTTCCATGTTGTGAGCACATTTTCATTTTAGACTATTTCTTTTGTGTTTCCAGGGTCTGTCTCTGTAGTAACCCAAAGTCTTAAGTATCAAGCAGCTGGACCCTCCTGGGCTCAGCCATGTCAAGGCAATGGGCAGGGCTAGAAGGTGGACCTGGAGTTTCTAAAGACACAGATGGGAAAGTGTGTGATGTGGGAGGACCACTTGGCTTCTAGTTGGAGGAACTGCACGTTGTCCCACTCCACGCCATCGATGATGACCCTCTGCATGTTCTGCTGATGCTCAGCCCTGCAGACCAGATGGCTGATGCCCTTGATGGTCTGGCTTTCAGACTCCACTTCCTTGTTCTTGGATTTCTTTGGCAGAAACATCACTTTCTTATTCTTGGGGACCATGGTCATGGACATGGTGGGCGTGGCTGTGGCCTCACCACTGCTGGGCAGACTGCTGACCTGGAGAGACTGGATGGTGCACTTGAGCATATTTTTGGTGGCAGGCAGGTCTCTCCCCCTGTCTAGGGGCTGGGCTGCCATCCAGTAATCCACCTGCAGCCCCATGAGCTGGGTGATGTCCTGGCTGCTGGAGGACAGGTCCCCACTCACTGATGGGGAGGAAGGTGGAGTAGCCCAGGCCTCCTTGATGGCCAACGATGTGGATGGCAAAGCAGACAATAGCTTGCTAGAGCCCAAGGGGGCCACATCATAAGAGTCTCCTGATGTGCATGAGGACATTTCCATTATTTCAACATTACCCTCCCCCAGGAACGGAATGATCTTCATCAAGGACTTTTCACTGGGGTTCTTATTCTTGTTGGTGAGCATGGCCTTTGCAATGGGCAGCTGGTAGACACAAGTGGCTCCCACAATATACCGTGCTATTCTCCACACGATGTCCACTGTGTCCTGCAGGGTGATCTGGGCCTCTATTCTGTTGAACATGTTCTGCCAGGCCAGGTCCTGGAAGAAGGTTTTATAGTAGTGATCCACGGAGCCCAGGTACCTTGCCACAGCGTGGCAACCCAGCGGGATGACCACAAAGCACACATAGCCCAGCCAGTCAGGCATCTGATGGGATAGCTGCTCCACATAGAGCTGCAGCACGGCATTGAGGTACTGCTCCGTTCCAACCACCACGATCTTCACCGGCATCATGAGCTGGGAATTGCAGCTGTAGGTACTTTCTATCCATGAAATGATAGAGCTGAAGGCTGCCTGGAGGTCAGCCTCAGAGCGGGTGCACATCACGGACAGCAAGCGCTGCTGCAGGGCATCAAAAAGGCACTGCCCCTGGCAGTCGGCAGTGTTGACGAGGATGATATTCATGGGCTGAGGGTCATCGGCGATGAGAACATCATTCAGTTGGTCAAACGCGGTCATCCTGGGGATCTGCAGCTGCCTGTGCATGTCTAGGCAGAGCTCCTCATCCAGGCTGTCAGACAGCTCATTCTGTGGCCATGCCTCCTCCCACTCCTTCCGGGATGTCCTCCAGCCCAACAGGCGAGCCTGGGTCCCCTCAGACCTGGGGAAGGGGGTGACGAGAGACGTGGTCTCAGTGATGTGTCCACTAGGGGGCAGATTCTCAGTAGACACATCCTTGGTGGAATTCTCGACCTCTAGGCTGTCCAGGGGCCATGCCAACAGCTCCCTGGGGGTGGATGTGCTGGAGGCCGAGTCAGACACAGAGTCATTTAGCTGATTGTCTCTTGGGACGTGTTTCTCCTCGGGCATGTCAGCAGGACTCAGAGGCTCCTTCTGGCAACAGGCACTTTGGATGCTCCCAGTCTCTGGTTGTGAGCTGTAGTGTGGCAGGCCTTTGATGTATTCCCTGGGCTTTGGCTCAGGGGTGCTGAGGATGCTGTCATCATCCTCCAGATCTGAGCTGCTGTTGTTTATGTTCTCCACTGTGTCATACCAAAAGTCCTCCTGTCCTTCGGGGACATGTTCTGCAGTGTCCTTGTTTAAGCAATGAACCACTGAGTCCACAACTTTCTCTATTTCGAAGACTTGCTCTGCTGGGTCCTGCTCTGAGCAATGTTCCTCCAAGTCCAGGTCTTCTTCTACCTTGGGGACATGCTCTTCAGGGTCCTGCTCAAAGCACAGGAACTCCTCTGGCACTACAGACATAGGCACAGGAGCTATATCTTCCTCCTTAAAGTTTGGTTGCCATGTCTTGGCCAAAGTTGTTACCATTCCTTGCCCCTGTCTCTTGAGCATCCCCACATTAAAGTCCTCCTTTTCCAGGTCCTGATTTTGCATGACATCACTGCTGGCCTCCAGCTCAGAAGAGATGCTTTCACACTCCTCATCAGGTTCTTCAACCATGGACTTGGCCTTGGGGCCAGCCTGTACAGCACTATCCTCACTGTCATTGGACTCACTGGACGGGGTCAAGATCCATATCTCAGCAACTTTTGTGGAGGCCTCCTTGAGGCTGCTGCAGAGGCTCAGCACCCAGCCACTCTCAAGTGGCCGCTGCATCGCCTGGGCCACATGGAAGGTGCCCACAGCCAGTGTTTTGTAGGCTCGAATCTTGTAACATAACATTTTTCTGATCCTGAAGCCCTTTCTTCTCTGCAACATGATCTTTATATTGCCTTGTCCACTTTGGAGGTGGGGGGTTGGCAGTAAAAAAGTCAACTTTAGGTCAGTGTCAACTTCTCCACTGGGGGGCAGCACAAACTCATGAGAGCGCAGGATGTTCTTGGAGCCCTGAGTCTTGACAGCAATCACCAGAGCACTGTGCTTCTTCTCAAGCTCCTCCAAGACTACCACCTTCTTCAATATCAGGCTGCATATATGGTTTGGTCTGGAGCTGTCCACCTCCAAGTCAGGAAACAGTTTTATGGGCACCGGTGTGTTGAGCTCAGGGGGCACCCTGGCTAAGCTTGTTGGCATTGATGATGCTTCAGATGCCTGCATGATATAAGTTTTATTACTACTCATGGTTGATGATCTCTCTCCCTGGGGAGGGACAGAGGAGGGACATGTCATGAACTGCTAGGTGAGGTAGGAGCTGCATCTCAGACTGAACCCCCAAGCACTCAGCAATTGGTGGCAGGAGGTGGGACATAAGGGATAACAAGAAAGAAAAGGTTCTCAGCAGGTAAAGTGGAATTGGAGGTGATGACTGAGGAAACACATTAGTGTGTTAGGTCATTTTTTTAGCAGCGGGTGGAGAGCACCTACCTGCATTAACAGTGTCACCCCTGGGATTTCTGAGGTAACAATCCATTCTAAGATGAGAACACAAAGGCTTTTCCTGGGCTGGGAGGGGTCAGAATGTTAGGACATGTGAGATGTTCATGGAAGCACCATTGAAATATCAACAGAAGGAGATCACATCAAGGTCCCAGAGTAATGAAGAAATGGATCACTGTGTGACTGGTCTCACTCCTATTATGTTGTGCAACCCAAAGACCCCCAGCAGCCTACCGGTAGGGACCACAGCGTTATGGTTCTCTGGGCAGCAAATAAAAAAGCAACAGACTTGGTAATATAAGCCCCATGATGCATTGAGGAAAAGCAGCCCTATTAATTACAATGGTGTGTAAGAGTAGAAGAAGGTGGGCAAAAATTGTCAGGCCAACATGCCCACTTGGAGACAGGCATTGAATTGGAAAATTCCACTGACACTTCTCTATATAATACTAAAGAATCCATCCAACAAGAGGTAGAACCCTGGTAAACACCAATAGACCCAATATAGTACACTTAAATAACTATTTAAAAAAATTATTGTAGGACTTTAAGTGAAAAATAAAAAGCAATGCTGTCCTACTAGGGGGATTTAACATCCCATTGTCTTCACTGGATAGATCTTCCAGACAGAAAATCAACAAAGAAAGTGTTACCCTAAATGACACACTAGATCAGATGGATGTAATTGGCATTTACAGAACACTTCACTCTCAAGTTGCAGAATATAAATTCTTCTCAAGTGCACATGGGACAATCTCAAAGACAGACCACATGTTATTAGGCAAACTAAGTCTCTACATTCAAGAAGACTGAAATCACATAAGCATATTCTTGGATCACAAGACATCATACTAGAAAACAAATAAAGAAAAACAGTCAAACACATGGAATCTAAATAGCATGTCATTAAACAATGAATGGGTTACCAATGAGATCAAGGAATAAAATCAAAACTTTCTAGTAACAAATAAAAATAAACACAAAACAATCCAAAATTAATGGGACACAGCTAAAGCAGTTCTGAGAGGGAAGTGCATAGTACTCCGGGCCTACCTCATAAAACAAGAAAAATCTCTAATAAACTATCTAAAACCTACATGTAAGAAAATTAGAGAGATAACAACAATAAAAGACCAAAGTAAGTAGAGAGAAGGAACTAATAAACATCAGAGCAAAATCAATGACATATAGACTAAAACACGATACATACGATCAATGAAACCAAGGAATTGTTCTTGGGAAAAATAAAAAAGATGGATGAACCTCTAGCCCGAATCACTGAAAAATGAATAGAGGGGAGCGAAAATGGCGGCGAAGTGAATGGAGGGACCCAGACCGTCTCCCAAGACCAAACTGGATTTACAACGAAAACAAAGGCAAACCGTCAGGAAAGGGCAGCTGAAGAACACCTTGGAGGACCACTTAACCAGAAACACCCACTCAGTCCTGGTAGGCTTGCGAGGACCGGAGAGGGGACCAAGAGCCCAGGGTCCGCAGCGGCCTGGGCAGGGGCCAGGGAACTAGAGGGGAAGTTAACTCTACCGTCTTTCTTCCCACCGTGCACGGCCTGGAAACCCTGTAGCCGGCTAGGCTAGGCTCTCTGCTGAAGCTGCACAGACTCGCAGACCCCAGGCAACTCGGTGGGACCGGGGAACGCGGTGGAAAGTTAACTCTACCGCCTCCCTCCCCGCCGTGCACAGCCCTGGAAACTCTGTAGCCGGCTAGGCTAGGCTCTCCGCTGAAGCCGCACAGACTCCTGGCCCCCAAGGAACTGGGCGGGACCAGGGAACTCGGAGGGACCGGGGAACTAGGCGGAAAATTAATTCTACTGCCTCCCCTCCTGCCGTGCAAGGCCCTGTAGCCGCTGAAGCCGCACAGACTCCTGGCCCCCAGGCAACTCGGTGGGACCGGGGAACGTGGCGGAAAATTAATTCTACCGCCTCCCTCCCCGCCGTGCACGGCCTGGAAACCCTGTAGCCGGCTAGGCTAGGCTCTCTGCTGAAGCCGCACAGACTCGCAGACCCCAGGCAACTCGGTGGGACCGGGGAACGCGGTGGAAAGTTAACTCTACCGCCTCCCTCCCCGCCGTGCACGGCCCTGGAAACTCTGTAGCTGGCTAGGCTAGGCTCTCCGCTGAAGCCGCACAGACTCCTGGCCCCAGGGAACTGGGGGACAGGAAAACTCGGAGGGACCGGGGAACTAGGCGAAAATAATTCTACTGCCTCCCCTCTGCCTGCAAGGCCCTGTAGCCGCTGAAGCCGCACAGACTCCTGGCCCCCAGGCAACTCGGTGGGGACCGGGGAACGCGGTGGAAAGTTAACTCTACTGCCTCCCTCTCCGCCATGCACGGCCCTGGAAACTCTGTAGCCGGCTAGGCTAGGCTCTCCGCTGGAGCCGCACAGACTCCTGGCCCCCAGGGAACTGGGCGGGACCAGGGAACTCGGAGGGACCGGGGAACTAGGCGGAAAGTTAATTCTACTGCCTCCCTCCTGCGTGCAAGGCCCTGAGCCGCTGAAGCGCACAGACTCCTGGCCCCCAGGGAACTCGGCGGGACCGGGAAACGCGGCGGAAAATTATTCTACCGCCTCCCTCCCCGCCATGCACGGCCTGGAAACCCTGTAGCCGCTGAAGCCGCACAGACTCGCAGACCCCAGGGAACTCGGTGGGACCGGGGAACGTGGCGGAAAATTAATTCTACCGCCTCCCTCCCCGCCGAGCACGGCCCTGGAAACTCTGCAGCCACTGAAGTCCCACAGACTCACGGCCCCCAGGGAACTGGGCGGGACCAGGGAACTCGGCTGGAAATTATTCCACCACCTCCCTTGCCACCCTGCATGGGCCCTCCTAACGCTATAGCCTGCTAAACTCTCCGCTGGAGCCACACAGACTCCCGGAGAACAGGGGACTTGGCGGGATTAAAGTGGGTCCTCCCTGGCTCACCCAAACCCAGGAAAGGAAGCCACAAACAGCACAACACCAACACCCAAAGGGAAAATTTGGCAGGCTCCAAAGCCCACTGTGGTAGCCAAAGTGGTGAAACACAGAAACAAAAGCCTAATCAAAGAACAAGAGATCTCTACCAAAGATGAGGAAAATGAGGTGCAGTTAAGCAGGTTAACAGAACTAGAATTCAGAGCCATTACCCTGAGGAAGATCAACAGCATGTGTAAGGACATGAGCACCATGAGTAAAGACATAGAAATGTTGAAAATCAACCAGTTGGAAATTTAAAACCACCAAGAAGAAATGAAGAATGACATATCAGAAATTAAGAACACATTAAAAGGTCTAAACAGCAGGGTAGAGGAAGCAGAGGACCGGATCAGTGAATTAGAACACAGGGTAAAAAAATTTCAACCAATCATAAAAACAAAAAAAAAAAACAATTAAAAAACAGGAAGACAGCTTAAGAGATCTGTGGGACAACTGGAAATGTAATAATATTTGCATCATAGGAGTCCCCGAAGAAGAAAATGAGCAAGGGTTAGAGAATATATTTGAAGAAATAGTGACAGAAAACTTCCCTAATCTGGGGAAGGAAGAAGGCATTCATGTTCAAGAAGCACAGAGAGACCCAAGTAAGAAGAACCCAAACAGGCCCACACCAAGACGCATGGTAATCAAAATGCCAAAAAATGAAGACAAAGAGAGAATCCTAAAAGCAGCAAGAGATAAGACACAGGTTACCTACAAAGGAAACCCCATAAGGCTCTCAGCTGACTTCTCAACAGAAACACTACAGGCCAGAAGAGAATGGCATGAGGTAATCAAGGTCATGAAAAACAAGGATCTGAATCCAAGTCTACTCCACCCAGCAAGGCTATCATTCAAAACAGAAAGTCAAATAAAAAGCTTCACAGACAAAAAAAAAAAAAAAGGGCTAAGGGAATATATTAGAACTAAACAAGCACTGCAAGTAATGTTAAAAAGACCGCTGTAATTAGCAGGAGCAAAAGAAAGAAAAATGTAAACACACTAACACAAAAGTGGCAATAAAAAAATACATACAAATAATCACCTTAAATGTAAATGGATGGACTGCTCCAATAAAGAGACACAGAGAAACTGAGTGGATAAGAAAGCATGACTCATCAATATGTTGTTTACAAGAGACCCACCTAACAACAAAAAACTCACATAGGTTGAAAGAGAAGGGATGGAAAAAATCTCCCAAGAAAACAACCAAACAAAAAATAGCTGGGGTAGCAATACTCATATCTGATATAATAGATTTCAAAATGAAGGCCATAACTAGAGACAAAGAAGGCCACTACATAATAAGGAAAGGATATATCCAACAGGAAGATATAACCTTAATAAACATATATGCACCCAATATAGTAGCACCAAAATATATTAAAAATCTTCTGGAAGACTTCAAAGGAGAAATCGATAGCAATACAATCATAGCAGGGGACTTCAACACCCCGCTGACATCACTGGATAGACCTCTAGACCAAAAATTAGCAAGGAAACAGAGACTCTAAATGAAGCACAGACCAAAAGGATTTAATAGATATCTACAGAGAATTACACCCCAAAACTACAGATTTCACATTCTTCTCAAGTGCACACGAGACATTCTCAAAGATAGATCACATGTCAGGACACAAACTAAGTCTCTACAAGTTCAAGAAGATTGAAATCATATCAAGCATCTTCTCAGATCACAATGGCATGCAACTAGAAATCAACTGCAACAAGCACGTGCGGAGACATTTGAACACATGGAAGCTAAATAGCAT